AATGTTTAGGCATAATTTGAGTCGTAGAATCGAAATATTGAAAAACAATTGGCAGTAGAACGGGAGATATAGAACTGTCCCCCTTTTTTGACACAGTGTACATAAAAGGAAACAACGGGTTTCAGTTAAAGACGCAACAGAAACATGCCGATGTGGAATATAAAACACATTAAAAAGTTATTACATATTAAGAAAGACTTTTATACCCTGTTACACTTCTTTAAAATTTTATAAGTAATTACTGCTAAATGTTTCATTAATAAGTTTAAAAAACTACAGATATCGGCAATCCTTTGCAATTTAAAACGAAAAAAAAAAAAGTTTCCAGAAACGTAGGGAGGCAAGCTTTTTGTTTTTTCCACATTAGGATCACTGAAAGATGCAATGACCATGGAAAAGAAGCATGCTTAACAAAATATCCCTAGCGCCATCTATCCCGGAATATCTCAATTAAACTTCCCAAATCGAAGTTAGCAAAGAGGAAAGTAACCACAAATACGGCTTAGAAATAGATTATTTGAAGATGACAAAGCGCACGAAGGCTGTCTGTCTCAGAGATTAGGAAATCCTTCTATTTGACAAAAACTCTGGAAAACATCTAAATTTGTGCAAGTTTGTTAATCTTTAATGTCTCAGAATCAGAATTGATTATAATCCCTCAAAATCATTCGGCCAGCTTCTCAAATAATCTCTGCATATTTTCGTTAAATAAATGCCTAGAAATGCAACTGGAAATTCAATTAATTTTTAATTAGGCTTATTGCCGTACATTTAATTAGGTTATTAGGCTTTTCGAAGCTGAGAAACAAGAAAAATTAGACATGCCTGCTTCAAACCTTCCGACTGCCAGCCGAATGTGCTTCCAATTACACCCCGAAATCACGCGGTAAAGGAAGGAGAAAGCTTTCGATATCATCTCCATCAAGTAATTTTTGTCTAGCCAGAAATGACTTTGTTATCCACAAGCGTTGTTTTTCTTTTAAGTCTTCATTACGGTAAGAAATTTCTTGGACAGTAGTTCTGTCGAACAGTGGTTCGTCTATGTCTTATGCTCCATGCATCCTTTTTAACTCGAAACTTGCAACGAAATTCTTAACTTTGATCATTCCCTTCCCTCCTTTCCCAAAGTCTAAGAAAAAAAAAAAAAAAAAAAAATTATACATTTATGCTGGATTTAGGTTTTTTTTTTTTTTTTAAACATATTTTTATAAAAGGTATAAAAAATATTGTTGTACATATATAAATTCTAAAATTAAATTTTTTATGTTCGTAAACTAAAACTAAACATTTAGAAACTTAATAAAAAGCTGCTCCCGTCCCTCCTATGAATGCATGAAATTCCTCCCTGCTTGAAAAACCTGCTCTAGAAAGAGAGATACTTCACTAAAAATGTATGATCACACTACAGATCGTCTTAGATGAGTTCCACTTCCTGATTAAGCATGTAAGCAATACAGTGTAAGCAAAATGTGACTTCTCACTGAGTCCTATTTGAAGATAATGGTATAGCTAAAACTGCGCCATTGACTTTACCCCCCCTTCTAAATAAAATTTCATCAGCTCTAGAAAGAGAGATACTTCACTAAAAATGTATGATCACACTACAGATCGTCTTAGATGAGTTCCACTTCCTGATTAAGCATGTAAGCAGTACAATGTAAGAATGTGACTTCTCACTGAGTCCTATTTGAAGATAATGGTATAGCTAAAACTGCGCCATTTTCTTTTCCCCCCTCGTAAATAAAATTCCATCAGCTCTAGAAAGAGAGATACCTCACTAAAAATGTATGATCACACTACAGACCGTCTTAGATGAGTTCCACTTCCTGATTAAGCATGTAAAAGTACAAACAAAAGAAGATACTTCACTAAAAATGACACACTAAGATCAGACACTTCCTATTAGCATGAGAGTACAATGTATGTTCCACTGAGTCCTGATAATGGTATAGCTAAACTGCGCCATTACTTTTCCCCCCCGTAAAAAATTCCATCAGCTCTAAAAGAGATACTACTAAAATGTATGATCACACTACAGACGTCTTGATGAGTTCCCTTCCTGATTAAGCATGTAAGCAGTACAATGTAAGAGAAATCTTCTCACTGGTCCTATTTGATTGAAGATAATGGTATAGCTAATCTGCGCCATTTTCTTTTCCCCCCCCTCCTAAATAACGCAGAAAGAGAGATACCTCACTAAAATGTATGATCACACTACAGACGTCTTAGATGAGTTCCACTTCCTGATTAAGCATGTACAATAAGAGAATGGGACTTCTCACTGAGTCCATTTGAAGATATGGTAAGCTAACTGCGCCATTGACTTTACCCCCCCCCTAAAAAAATTCATCAGCTCTAGAAAGAGAGATACTTCACTAAAAATGTATGATCACACTCAGATCGTCTTAGATGAGTTCCATTCCGATTAATAAGCATACAATGTAAGAAGAATGTGACTTCTCACTGAGTCCTATTTGAAGATAATGGTATAGCTAAAATGCGCCATTACTTTTCCCCCTCGTAAAAAAAATTCCATCCTCTAGAAAGAGATATCCTAAAAATGTTGATCCACTACAGACCGTCTTAGATAGTTCCACTTCAGTAAGACAATGTGTCTTCACTGAGTCTATTTGAAGATATGGTATAGCTAAACCTGGGCCATGACTTTTCCCCCCCCCTAAATAAATTTCACAGCTCTAGAAAAGAGATTCACTAAAAAGTTATGATCACACTACAGATCGTAGAGAGTTCCACTTCCTGATTAAGCATGTAAGCATACAATGTGAATGTGACTTCTCAATGAGTCCTATTTGAAGTTTGCGCCATTCTAAACTCACTGGTATAAAGAATATTTTCCACTTCACATGAAAAATTTCTCACATCGCGCCATACAACCCTTCTAAAAATGTGAGTCTCCACTTCCTGTTAGCATACTGTATCGATCTTTTGATACTGGTATAGCTAAACTAATCAGAAAAGAGTTCCTTAGATCAGATCGTACCCTCAACAGTAAATGTATTGTATTATGAAGATAATGGATACCTGGATTTAAATCAGATCATCTATCACAAACAGATCGTCTTAGATGAGTTCCACTTCCTGATTAAGCATGTAAGCTGTACAATGTAAGAAGAATGCGACTTCTCACTGAGTTCTATTTGAAGATAATGGAAGTTCTATTTGAAGAATCTAAAACTACGCCTGAGTTCACTGAGTTCTATTTGAAGAATCTAAAACTACGCCATTTACCTTTTCCCCCCAAAATAAAATTTCATCAGCTGTGGTACACACAGGGTGTTCTTTACACAAATTTTCTATTCAGAGGTTCTATTGAATCGTTTCCTGTTTTTAATATTTATGCAAAGATGTTTTTGCAGAGTTCAAACTTCGGTATAACAGAAATCTCCCACGACACTTCTCACATCTTAGCCATCTCTTCAGTGAAACTTATCGTTATACTATAATAAATACAGATTCCTTTTAGATTTATACTCAACAGTTCCATTCGGATGTTATCATATCTCTTCCTAAAGGAATTTTTTTTTAATATTACCCAATCCTGACAAGAAATTTGTACAGTAAAACACATATTTTTTATTTTAAGTACTAGCGGAAGTATCCGATGCCAGTCAAGTTGGATTCAGAGTAATGCATGTAACAGAGAGAACGATACCGCTGTAATCCATCTCTAATGACGGTGCAAAAAATACGATTCATAGTGATACATTTTTCAGTCTGATGTGATATGGAACCCACATAAAAAATTTCGATAGAAAAATAAACTAATTCTCTCTTATTGTATAAAAAAAAATGGCACGCAGTTTTGAATGATTTTCGTCTTTCTAATCAAACGATCGTAAAAGCTCAAGTTCCATCCAATATTTCACCCATGTTCAATTTTAGTTTGTAAAATGTGTCAAAAAATTGATCATAACTGATAATATATCAATAACGCAAACAAACACACAAACAGGCGTTCTTTTTTATATATATAGATTTTTGTAAAACTTACAACTTTTTGATTAACAAACTCTACGATTTGAAAGCGAGCAGTAGCAACAGTTTTCGAACTAAAGCATTTTTATCTTGACGCGATGACTGTTGCCATTCGGTAAAATGAGTGCGAAAATAAGTGTTTTTAGAGTTTTTAATTAATATCTCGCGTGATTTAAGTCGTACGAAGATGGGAATAGTCGAAATGGCTTCCCACGAATTTTTGGAATCGGGAATAATGTATTTAATGTTTGGCATAGCTATTTTTGTTACATTGTAAAATTTAGGAATTTTTTATTTGCCAAATCTACAATTTGAAAGCGAGCAGTGGCAACGTTTCTCGAAATAAAGCAGATTTTTATCTCCAACGGGCGAGATTGTAGCCACTCAGAAAAATGAGGAAGACAGCGTTTTTTGAGTTTTTAATTAATATCTCTGATTTTAGCTATTTTTTTGGGGGGGGGAAGTAGACCCCCCCACCCCCGAAAAAAAATTGTAGAACGTTTGGTGACGATAGCTATAGTTTTGACTGAGTTAATCGCGAACAAACACACATTCTTCTTTATATATATATATAAGAATGTATGTTTGTGTGTTAAAATAATTTGTTAATAAAATTGTTAAAATAAATGATAAATGTTAAAATAATTTGTTACTCATTTTAAAACGAGAAGAAACCCAGAATTTCCAATTCGAATAGAACATTTTCATTTCTAGTTTTACATTGTTATGTCAAAACGTCATCGACCGACAGTTAACATCCATTTTTGTTACTTCCTTTTCCTGAAAAAAGCGGGAAATTTGCTGTTGCGTTTAAAAAATACCCATCTAAATTGGCCCCGTTTTATAAACTTACTCACCCACTACTGTTGAAGCGCTGGTGCGAATCCAAAACTGTCAACTTTTTTTGAGTGAGTACCTCATGTCGTCTATTTCCCCTTTCCCCGATCATATATTTTCCACCGGACTCAGATTAGCTGACACCGTTTAAGGCACATCCTGCATGACATTTCTCCTCAACGACATGGCTGATAATCTCCATAATCTCCAACAATTAACCTGGAAATTCAGCTTTCGCTTCAAGTATTTCATTTATGAAAGGTTAGTATAGTTATCAGATAATTGAATGCATATCAGTGCGCTGCAGATTTTCAAGTTCAGGGTTGTTTGAATTGCTTTAAGAATTCCATTATAATTTCTGATGTAAGTTCTTTAATTTTAGAAACGATAATGTAACAGAGTATCTTAGAGGTTTAACCCATAATTATGAAATGTTATAATTTTGTTGTATTTGGTATTAATATAGTTTCTTAATTAATATATGTAACTTTTCATATCCCATTTTTGTAAGCACGTAATTATATAGATAATAAACAGTCTTTATTACGTATTTCATTTTTTACTTGACGGCGAAATGACCCAATGCGAACCAGCTGTCGGAAAAACGGCAACGGTGAAAATCCTAGAACCTTGCCTGTATTTCCCTACAACTTTTTATCCACATACAAAGTTCATTCCCAGAGGATGTCAATCGTTCCCCACAGGACACTAGTCAGTCCCTTATAGGTATTAATTATTTCAGGTAATCTCCTCGATTGGACCAATCAGGTCTGTTATGCACCTGAAGTGCACAAGAGCTGTATAATCGATAGTTAAAAGTTAGGAAAAAAAAATTTAAAAAATTTGCAAAAATAGAAATTCTGTAAGGTTTCAGATTTTAAATTACGTCCAAAGGGGAGTTTTTTAACATTTTGTGTGTAACCTTTATTTATTAAATATCATGTTCTTCGGACTTAAACCATAAAATTCAGTTCAACAGCAATATCGCAAAATAGTTTTTAAATGAGCATATCTTTAGAATTTCCGATACAGGGACTCACGCGCTGGAGATAAAAATGTTGTTTACAATGTTGCCATTGTTCGCATTGAAATCCTTGAGTTTGTTAATCAAACATTCGTTAAAGGTTTACAAACTATGAAATCGATAATAAAACAAATTCCAAATTTGGGCTTCCAGAAGTCCATATTCGCAGTAGGATTCCGTCATTCAAAATTAGATGGCTCTAGGTACCGTTGTTTTATCGCAATGTGAGAAACATACATACATTCATGCAGATTCATCATTATTTAATTTCTTTAAATATAATACAGGGAGATAATATTTGGTGGGAGCAGTTCTAAAAGTGAAACGGACATTCAGAGTGAATCGACGCAAAACGAAAACGATAGTCCCTAAGGAACAAAGCCCTTCTGGACTAAAAGGGTATATGACGTTAACACCAATCTCTTTTCATCAGCAAAGTCCTTCACTGTTTTAAATAAGGGGAGCGCTTTCTCGTATTTGCTTAGTTATGATATCAAATCTTCACCGATTTGACCAATCTATTTTTCACTGCAAAATACCATATAATGTATATAAACAAAATATGCAGAACTATTTGCTCCTGTATTATTTCCTGCTTGCATTTAAACTGGCCGAAAATTAATCAGTTTTAATGCGTATTCTGAGCACAGCTGGCGATAACATTTTTATCACCTGTTGCAATCTCACCGGGAGGGTTCCTACACTATGCCAACCAGCACTGGTTGCACAGTCTTCGGCGCAGCATCTGATTGCGAACATGTAGTTCAAAATTAGATGTAATTTTTGAAGCACTGCTTTTAGCATGGTATAGTAAAACTAAATGCTTAATATCTGTTACATGTTTATGGAAGTGGTGTAGAATCTAAAAAGTACTTTCGCTTGAAAAGGAGAAAGTACCACACATAATCTTGCGTTTCTAAGAGCATTATGATATGACGTGATGTTTGTCTATATTTGCCATTTTTTTATTAATTTCTTTTTTTCACAACTTTGTCCAGTGCAGGAGAGAGGGGGGGATATCTCGGCTACAACCATGTTGAGATCGATTGTGGTTCCCTTCAAGGTTTCCTGTTATCCAACCTCCGATGTGTATTGAAGGAAAAATCAGGTCAGTGAACTCGTCGACGAATTGAAAAGTTCCGTCGTATCCGACTCGCTTCGATGGTTACGACTTTCTCCGACAATCGCCCTGCCGGCTATGAAATCATTCTTTCCAGATTTATATCCAAGAGAAAACCTGATTGTCTTCTTAGTCAGTCCTTTTGTGATCAACTGCAAAACAAGGTCTCCGTTCTTCCTGCCATACAGGTAAGCAAACTAAACTATTGTTTTGGCATATTGCATTGATTCACTATAAATGCCGGTTCACTTTTTATCTTTTAGCTTTTATCTTTTTATCTTTTAGAACACAATTGGTACTGCGTTTACCAATAACTATTACTAATCTTTAGTCTACAATTTTTATTTATATATTTATATATTTTGTTTACCAATCATTACCATTAATCTTTAATCAAAATTTTTTATTGTATTAAGTTGGCTTTAGAATATATTCTTACATTTATATCCACTATATGTATCGTTTTTTTTTAAATTATTTATCAAGACAGAGATTCACAACCAACAACATTAAAATACTTCTATTACATTTATTCCGTTCTTAAAAATGCATGAGTAGATAATATCGTCTGCTGGCTAATGTTACATTCTATCTCTCACGTTTACATTCTTACAAATGCTTTGAATGGACATGACGCCATCTGGCGATAATCTGTGGAAATTGCTAGGTATTGTTTATCGTAAATAAAAATTTGAACACGAATTAGAATTGTGCGAATTAGAAGTGAGGAAAATGATGTGCACAAGTTCTTTGCAAAACTAGATTTAGTATCACCAAAATATTAAAAATTCTACATTTTTAAAAATATTTTTCATATTTTACTGAAATAAAAAGTGCTTTTTGCCACAAAAACATGAAGAATTGGTTATTGAGAATTTTATAGTGATTTCGATGGTTTGAAACATTGTTACATAAACTTACATAAACGGGGCCCCCCGTTTATGTAAGTTTATGTAAGTATAATATGATTCCCCCCGTTACATAAACGGGGGGAATCATATTAATAATGACACAAAATACTAAATTTTCTGTTATTACTATCTACTCAAAAATGCATTCGATATCTTTAGAATCTTATTTAATGAAGCTTTAGAGCATATACCCCAAAAAATACACTTCAATGCCTTTTAATCTTTCATATTTTTCATTTCAGTAAAAAACAAAAAGTCTGAAAGCTTTCAAATTTTATTTTACGCACAAAGGGGTGTATTTTAACGTTTTGTGTGTTACCGTTATTTATTAAATAGCATATTCTTCGCACTTAAACCAAATTAAAATTCAATGCCTCAGCAATATTGCAAAATAATTTAAAAAGAGCACATCTTTAGAATTTCCGGTACACAGTCTGAAGATAAAAAAAAAGGTATTTTTTCCTGTACAGTGTTGCCACTGCTCGCTTTGAAATAGTTGAGTTTCTTAATCAAAAATTCGTTAAAATTTTACAAAACTTAAATAGATAATAAAACACATTCTAAACTCCAAATTTGGGTTTCCTGATGCCCATATTCGAGTGGAGGACTATGTTATTCAAAATTTGATGTCTCTTGGTACCATTGGTTTTTCACAATGCGAGAAACATACGTACATTCACGCAGATTCTTCATTATTTAATTTCCTTAAATATAATACAGGGCTGTAATATTTGGTGACAATAATTTGAAAAGTGTAGAGTCGTTTTATAGTGGATCACGCAAAATGTCAAAACGAAATTAATAGTCCTTATGGGAAAATTGCCCCCTTAGGCTAAAAATTATGTACCTATTTTTATATAGTTATACACAGTTTGTTGCTAATACGTCAATGAATCTTTTATATATATTGGAAAAATTATGTCTGAACTGCAATTGTCACAAAATATGTTGATAAAAGTGCAGCATTGCTTTATCTCATAGAAAACTATACTCTTTTTTTATCGTGAAGAATGAAAATCTGTTAGGATATGATAGTTAGTTTAAAAATATTACTTAAGAAGTTTCACCAGTAAAATTTTATTCCAAACTTTACATAGGTGTAAATCCCCATTTTCCTGTTTTTTATTGAAAGCGCTTTTATACAGAAATGATGCTATTTGTATCTGGAACACAAAATATACGGCCTCACCAAAAGGAGAATGGACCAAAAGGTTTTTTTCCTGCAATTTTTCATAGAGTAAAGGTTGATCAGGTTTCAATAGATTTTAAATTAACTCAATTTTTGACTGGATACATTTAAGAACTATTTAAAGTGATTTGGTTTTGTTTTATGTGCTTTTGCCAGCTGCGGTAGCATCTATGAAGATGTTAAACATGTTTTCTTGAGTGCATTCATCAAGACCAGCAAAAGAAAATACTTCAGGAAACTTTAAAGCACCTGTCTGTGTCTTGGGCACCCATGTTTTCTGAACTATTACGAACTACAGAGACAATTTCTATTTTTCGGAATTTTATTCTCAAATTAAATTATTGAATTTTTTTTCCTCTTTTCTTTTTTTTTTTTTTTTTTTAAATTTTTTTTTAAGTTTTATTTTATTAACCCAAAGGGCGTTAGACTAGTAGGACTATTAATAAATATGTCGGTTCATTTATATATACTAAAGACGACATATACTAAATATGTCGGTTCACTTTTGAAGTTGCTGCCACCATATATTAGAGCCCTGTATAATGTTTAAAGAAAATTATATAATGAAGAATCAGCATAAATGCATGCATGTTTCTCGCATTGTGATAAAACAACGGTACCTAGAGCATTCAAATTTTGAATAATGTACGTCTCCACCCGAACATGCATCTAGAAGACAAATTTGGAATTTGTTTTATTATCTACTTCATGTGTTGTAAAGAATTTATGAGTTTTTGATTAATAAACTCAACAATTTCAAAGCAAGCGAAGGCAGAATTGTACGGAAGGTAAAATAAATTTTTATCTCCAGTGCTCGAGACTGTGTATCGGAAATTCTAAAGATACGCTCATTTTTAAAATTATTTTGCGATACTGCTGTTGAACACAATTTTATGGTTTAAGTGCGAAGAATATGATATTGAATAAATAAAGGGAACACACAAAACGCTAAAAGAACGCTCTTTTGGGCGTAATATAAAATTTGAAACTTTCAGATTTTTTTAAACTTTTTAATATTTTCCCAAAGCTTTCAGATTTTATATTGCGCACTCAACAGTGCGGTTTTTTTTTTTTTTTTTTCCATTTACAGATGCATACACGTTTGAGAGTATGTACGTACGTACGTATCTCGCATAACTCAAAAACGAGTAGCCTCAGAACGTTGAAATTTTGTATAGACTAACTCTTCTTTGTGCTAAAAATATTTAAAAACAGCATAGCTTTAGAATTTTGAATATACAGGCTAGCACGCTGGAGATAAACGTATTTTATTCCGTACAGTGTTGCCAATTCTAGCTTTGAAATGGTTGAACATTTATAATCAAGAATTCATTAAATTTTTAGAAAATATGAAATAGTTAATAAAACAAATACGAAATTCAAAATTCTCGCTTCCAGGTGCCTACGTTATTCAAAATATGATGGCTGTAGGTAAGGAAGTAAAAAGGAAGTATTGTAATCGCGAAAAGCTTCAGGCAGCATATTTCAAGGAAAATATCCATTTTGACCGCTTTTGAATGCAATTTAACGAAGTTTTTGCGTGATATCTGTACGTAAGAACAGAATAAAAGACGTTTTTCCTTCAAAAAAATTAAAAATCTGCTTTAAAATGTATTCTGAAGATAATTTTTCGTGGCGTCTGTACGAACGTATGTACGTACGTACGTATCTCGCATAACTCAAAAACGAGTAGCCTCAGAACGTTGAAATTTTGTATATAGGACTCCCATAACATGTAGATGTGCACCTCGTATTTTGGTTGCAATCGTCCGCACCAAACGTATATAAATATATTTATATATATATTCACTCTGTTACCCGTCTCAGTGATCTCAGTTTCTTTACTCTTATATGTTTGTAAATTGTACATTTTTTGCTTTAAAAATGATTGAATTATGTTGTTCCTATCTTCCGGTTAAGGTTTTTATGCCTTTAGTAAATCTGTATGCAATATTTTTAGAATTATCAACAATTTTAAAATTGTTTAACTGCCGCTAAGCCTAATAATGTTTTTGATGGCGGCCATTGCTTGTTTACATTTGAAACAGCAGGATAGCGGATTTGTTGCCAATCTACAGAAACGTAGGTTCGCAACAACAAAGATAAACGCCTTCATTTATTATTGCGATTTAAATCATGCTTAATCCTTTCTACAATGTTTTCGAGGAAATAAGTGTTTAAGATTTAATTAATTTTTAATAATTTAATTTTTAATAATTTAATTTTTAATAATTAATAATTTAATTTGTGATAATTAGTAATTTTTAATACAGATATTTTGAGTTTTTATGTATTTTTGCCTTGTCGCGAAGTGAGAACTGAATTAATTGAATGAGAAATACTCAATCGTCTGCGAAAAACTGTTACTTTTTTGTTTTGTTTGCTTAATTTTTTTTTTATAAATCGTTCTAGTTTTATTATAGTATTTGAATAGAACATGTGGCAACGATTAGATAATTCTTTAAATGATACAAATTTTGTACATTCTGAGTTATAATATGAACGAAATATAATACTGTTAAGTGAACCTAACGCCAGAGTGTCGCTATGGCAAACAAATAGAGTGAATTTTAAAGAATGCATTTATTCTATTATGGTTTATGCGCTGTCGGCGAAGTAGATTTAATTCAATCCAATAAGTGTAAATGAAATGCAAGAAAAAATGCGTATAATTTAATATTCCGTACAAGGAAGTCACGTGGTGCACACATCAGATTTTTTCATTCATATATTCATGCAGATTCTTAATTATTTAATTTCTTTAAGTATAATACACGGAGATAATATTTGGTGGCTACAATTTGAAAAGTAAGAGGATTTAAGTGTTTTGATGCAAAATGTACACGGTATAAGCGGGGGGGGGGCACCAGAATTTCTCCATGGGCTTTGCAGGGATAGTTACACCACATTAACTGCGCAGCTGCACCCCAATTTTGCGACAGAAAACCCGGGCGGGAGGTATCCGAGGGCCTCCTATTTCTCTTTCCCTGCCACCAAATACTGGAGAGAACTTTCGAACCGTCTTATATTTTGAGAGCCTCTTGCCACGCAGACACTATGCGTTTACAAGCATCCATGCCATCTCCGG